ACAAGGCCTTACTAAATCATATATGAATATAAAATTACACATCCTTCATAAACTTATAATGATTATATGTTAATACTGAAGATAGATGAGTGTTTGACTGTATTACTACCACCCCTATAAGCCTTGGTGTTATTACTACGCTTTTCATTTCAACACCCCTCCAAACACTTGAGGAACTGAAAGAAGAAATCCCATGTGGACTTCCTCAACCTGTACAAACAGTCGAATACATTTTAAAGGCAGAGGGAGAGGACAGGGAGAGAGAGGGGAGCCAGGGAGGGAGCAGAACAGAGAGACAGGGAGAGGGAAAATGGAGGGACAGGACTGGGTACCAAAGGCATGGCAAATGAGACAAAGGGAGTGGAAGGAAGGCACAGAGATAACAGACAGGCAGAGGCTGTGGCACTGACCTAGATGAAGTAACAGGCAGCAACGGAGGGGGAGGCAGCAAAAAAGGAGGGAGGAGAGGGAGGAAGGCAGCAGGCTCGAGCAGCAGGGAGGGAGCACGAGGAAGACCATATGTGCAGCAGGAACAGGTGTGCAGTGAGAGGCAAAAATAAAGAGGGAGACAGAGAGGAAGGCTGAGAGGGAGGCAGGCAAGGAGCAAGATATCTATCTCAAATGCACTTGGAGGAAAGAAAGCAAACCACAACTACACAGTACCAATGCCAAAACTAAGGGAGAGCTTAGTAATGAAAATAATTACATTTATTCAAATCACTCATAGTTTATATTTAAAATAAACTACAATTTTATTAAAATGAAAAGGACTTCCAACAACCAGGTAAATTGTCAATCTCATATCTCAGGTGAAGGGTAACACATGAAGAAATGTTTTATCATAAGAGTTATAATGCTCACAAACACAGCCACAGATACCTGCATTCCTTGTATACATAAGCTTGCCTATAGTCTCATCCTCATATCTGCTTTTTTTAACACGTCGTAGATGCACCAAAAGGGCAAATCCTCATTAAATTCAGAAAACTCATATATTTGGAGTTTCTAATTCATGTGAATCCTGCAAAGTGGCAACAGAAATTCATCTCTGATCATCAATTCTCTTCTAAAGCAAAATTCAGAAGTCATATTATATCCTTCAACAACCAGATATTGGTGGAAGAAAAAGACCTCCATGCCAAACACTGACCAAAAGCAACCACCACAAATTAAAACAATCAGTCAATGAAATGTGCAAATAGAGACTTCTAAGATAGAGGTCAAAGTAGTTCCCATGACACAGAAAATGATTACTCTTTCTGTAACTGTACTTCTGCAGGCAGCTACCACACGTGAACATCAACAGCTGCCTGATCACACAGCCATCCACTTGCTGTTAATGGCATCTTTTGGGCAAGTGGTGGATATGATCCTAATACATATAGCTATTTTCTATTTGTCATTGTTCTTAATTGTCAATGCCAGGTTAAATTTTAAGTTTCACACACAATTCACTTTCTGTCTTCATAGAAATACTCAGGCGTGGCCAGAACAGAACATGTTGTCCTTTCACGTGTTTCAGTAGCTCAAAGGTAACGCTTTACTTTGCATCTTCAAGCTTAGCAAACTAACAAACAGTACATCCTCATGAGTCACAGTAAGTAAATATCAGATGAGGGTATTTCAAAACTATAGCCTTTGTATCAGTTTATTCCTGAAGATACTGCACCTTTTCCATTTCTTATTCATCTCAAGTCACATTTTCAAACTATTATAGTAACTCTTGTTACTATGTAACAGCTTCCAAGTATTTAACAAATACCTATAAATTAAGTCACACTTATTACTACCATGCATTTCAGCCTTTACATAGGATTTTAGAAGACATCTAGTGCAAGGATATTATTGTTGAAAAACTTACATTTTGATTAATTATCTAATTCTGCAATTCAATAAAGTGCAAGCTTTGCAGAAAATTCAGAGTTTTGTTTCCCAAGCGTCTCACGGCCCAAAGGTCTATCACTAGACTGCACGACACATTCTTTACAATACATGAGCCACTTTCTACGAAGGGATTTCTTTTGTCTGAATCTTTGATCAGCCCTGTGAGTAGTAATGGTATGTGGAAAGTTACAATCATTCAATAGGAAGAAAAAAAAAAAGCAAAAAAAAAAGCAGCCTTCTGATAATTAAGTACCCCAGAAAAAAACAAGCCTGATAGCTTGGTTCATAGTCAAGCAACTTGTGTTCATTATGCTAGTTTTCTTTGTACTTTCCTCTAAAGAGAGCATACCTTTCCCAAGAAACATTCACACGGAGATAATAGCAACTCAAAAATTCCAAGACGCCCCATTTCCCACTGACAAGGAATACAGATCTCTAATGCTACATCCATAAAGTAAATTAAGGATAGATTTAAGATCTCATCCTGTCAAATGCCTTTAATTGCCACTTGTTTTCTGAAAAATTTGGAAAAAAGATAATCTCATAGATGTGCCTGTACACAAAAGCTTTTTATCTTCTTCTCTTGTGAGGAAAAGGTGAGACACTCCAATACACTGGATATCAAACAAAGATCAATTACTGATTCCAGCCACTTACAATGAATTGGAAGCATGAAAAGTAAAAATTAAACAACGTGTTTTTATATGAATATTCAAGAACTATTGCTTCGTCCCCACCATAATGTCTAATTTTGGATTGTCATTTCTCTGCAATTTTTTAAAGAAAGCACCAAACAGCAACAAATTTAAATATTTGGTAAATAAATCTTTATATCTAACATTCACAAAGAATAAGGCCTTTAAATGAAATGTACCCAACCTATAATTACTATGAAGTACATACACATAGCAGTTAGAGAAACCAAGCATGCAAGCAATTCCACTGATTTCCATCAGTAGTGTTCACAAGTTGTTTACTGACTCCTGATATCACTCAAGATCTTAGGATTGCTTTAAATACAATTTTGCATACAGAGGTGAAATTAAAGCAAATTCGTTGACTGCCAGCTATATAAAATAAATAAAAACTCTATAATAAACTTAAAAAGCTATCAAACAAGCACTGAGTAACTAGAGTCAGGAAAAAAGAAAAGGAAAAAAGAAAGGAAAAGGAGGGAAAAAGGGGAAGGAAACTGTATGGGAAGTGCTGAGTCACGGCCTGAACCTCTGATTGATCACCTGAGGCGAGCACTGAGCCAGCCAGAGGAGCACACGTGAAGGCAATTCACCTGTGCTGCTGGAAGGGGTGGAGCCTGGCTCCAGCCCTCCTAGCCCTATTTATGAGCTGGCTACCAGTGGGGAAGGATCTCGTCTGGAGATCACCTCTCTTGGTGTTCTGTGGTGAGCCCAACATAAGGGTAAGCCTTCCATTTATTCTCTTTTGTTATCATAGTCTACTTCGCCTAACTCTCTTGTTTATATTGTGATTGTAACATCCATTGATTATACAGAAACTAAAAAAGAAAGGAAAGTAAAATAGAGAAATGAAAGGGGAAAGAGGAAAGGAAAGGGAAAATGAGAAAGGAAAGAGAAAGAACAGTAGAAAAGAACAATGAGATAGACTGTACCACTGATGCTGTTTTCATACCTACGGTGTAATCATGTGCAATTGGAGCTGCTAGATGAACACGAAGTAAGCTTATAATAGTGCACCACTAGTAAGCTAGCCAGAGCACACCGTGCTACATTCCTACCACAAGCTCTGAGTACAGATGTGAATAGCAGTTTTTGAGATTCCTATTGCTTTTCATCTTTTTAGGTAGAAGGAATGGGTTGCTTTGCAAATGTCTCTGCAACACTCCTGAGATCCAAAAAGAACACGGACTGGAGTGGAAGTCAGCCAACAGAGTGAGATCTGAATAAGAACAGCAATATTTTAAAATGCTGGTTATTTCTCCAGTGTCTTCTTTGAAAATAAGTCACCAGTAGGAACTTTTTACATAGCCACAGAAGTGCTCATCAGTATATGAAAACATTTCAACTGTACTCTGACAAAGGCATACAGCTGTTTTAACTAAAGTTCATGGGAATTCCAGGTGTTACACTTTATGTTATTATGAAAGTATGATAATAAAGACATAATTTAAATCTATATGATATTGAAATGCATACATGCAAGAGAAAAATGGCAGATGTATGAAGCATAGAATACATCTCTCTAGCACGTCTGATTTTGTGACCCTGCTCCTGCAATTATATACTTCATCTAGAACTGAAAATCTGTAATAAATTAAAAAGGATTATTTCAGGAATGTAACACTTGCAGTGTGTGACTTCCTTGCTCTTTATATGACTAACTTTCCTCTCTCAGATTCACATAGGAAAACATAATGAAGAGGTATATACTCACTGTACTTTTCATTCCCTCACTGAAAAAATAATCTGCCTTTAGTGATAAAGTATTAGAAGAATGAAGTCATTCTGCACAGCTATGAAGACTAAGGGACAGTCCGTGTTTAAGAAAACACAACAAACTTTAAAACAAGGTATGAAAGCTTTACTCCAAATCCATTCTCAGAGCTGCAAACATGTATTTTTTAGTTCATTTCTCCTTTTTACCCCGTTCTTCCTCTTCACCAAATTATTACTGTTAATCACACAAGTCCTTAAACCCACATGAAACAAAACAGCTTCTATAACTGAGTATTCCAAGTAGTTTCTTTTAAATAAGGAATGCTCAAAAATCACTACTAGTACTAAAACTGTAACGTCGAAATTATGATACTGACCACATCAGCAATAAAATGCTGTTTTTTCCCTGCTTTTCCTTGCCTAAATCAATGGGGAAAAAAGTAGAATACACTGGTATTAATTTTTAAATACAGTATTTGCATGATCATTTTCCATGGCCATATTCCTGTCAGTTATTTAACATTATAATTGCAAAATTAAAAGTTCATATCATCTCCAAAATACAGTATTAAGAGCACGTATGGTAATTATTTCTTTTTTGACTGTAATAGTTTTGAAGCTTTTTGTTCTCCACACATTCAGAGCAGTCCAGCTTCTCAGATGCAAAAAAGAGAAGGAAGAAACAGGATTGTTTCAGACTCCAACCTGAAATGCTACAACCTCTGGCCTGCCCTTCAGCCCTTCTACTGCAAAGGTCTCTAGGTGCAGTTTGGGTAGCTGCAGGGTGAAGTCATTCCTGGTTGCCGCAGTCCATGACAGCAAGGTCTGATCTCTGACCTAAAGGGAAAAAAACAGCATCAATGGTAATTCCCCTTCAGACACATTAACTGGGATGAACTGGGTCCCCTTGAGCCCACTGAGTGGACTTACATTGATCGCTGGACCTGAAATCCATGAATAAATTTAGGACTAATTGATTTTTCGTTGCAAATAAATCTCTAATTCAGAGTGCTGGGAGAGAATGTTAAGAAGAAAAAGCATCTTCCCCTGGTCTGAAATGAGAAGGAAAGAATTGCTGCTAAGGGCTCACAAGCCCACCTGATACACACATTTTACAGATCTGTCCTCTGTAAAAACACAGTAAGAAAATAAATAGTAATTGTACTTCTCACTCAAAAACTCACCAGCAATGAAATCAAAAAGTTTTGTGATCATACAAACAAGAAGCTGTTACAGGACTTCTGTCTGGTGTATGGAGATCATATCAGCAATTCACAGTTGGATTCCTTTAATACCAGTTCAGTTAGAGCCCTAACTAAAATGAATAATCCTCAAACAAAGCCAAAAAATACCTTCAACCTGCAGCACTGCAATTAACAGAAAGTGAAACAAAATCTGCTCCTAGTTTTCTTACTGTAGACTCGCATATAAGAAATAATGCACTAACTAGTACTAATCAACTTTCATACAGTTCATAACTATGACAGCTTGGAGTGAGAAATGCTACAGTTTGCACAAAATTCGAACAGTTTGATATTTATTTATTTAGTGTTGCAGGCAATCTGAAATGAAAGGATAAAACAAAACACCCAAACGCTATCCATGCGATTTCTACATAAGGCTACAAACACAACCAGATGCAGTTTGTGTCACAGTGCCACCTGCTGACTAAGAGAGAAACTGGTTTTAATTTGGAATCCTGCCCGCTTTCAGAGTGATGAAAACACGAAGGTAAAGACTGTTAGCCATGTAAATTGATCAGTGCTTTTTTTTTTCTTTAAACACAACCAGACTTATAAGTCTTGAACAAGGGACGAGTATTTTTTCATTATTTAATTTCACATTTTTGCGTACTACCATAACATGTAATTAGGCTATTAGCTGCATTTGAAGGGTTACGTATTTAGCACATAACTTTCATGGACACATCACTCATACTGCTACACGCATATCTTTCATTCTGTTTAATATAAAAATTATCATGTGCGTCTCCAAAAGATGCCAGACAAGATTCCAATACAGAAGGATAGAAGCACGTAAAAAGATACGTAACGAATAGAGGAAATATGTTTAAGTGGCACAGACTGACTCTGTTGAGTAGCAATAGCTAGTACCGCCAAAATAATCAACTCTTTAACAACAATACACACTCTGACATACTAAATGCACCCAAAATACATTTACATTTTTATATGCATAATTTACTAGATACCATTTAAAACAAATTTTAGATTATCTAGAGCCTCCCTCGTTCCAAAGAACTCACCATTCATGAATTAAAATATACTCCCATTCATTTTAAATCCCAGATTACTTTTTTGTAGTTGCTTACAAAATTAATTTTTTGGTAAAATGTTGATGAGAGAACATATTTCAAATAATAGCACAGGCTTTGAAATCTGTTCTGACTGAAAGAAGCATGCACGTGTAAATCTACTGATACAAAGAAGAAAAGATTTTATTTTATCCGTTGCTCTCTTCTGTGGGAATAGGGAGCCCTACATTTCCCAAGTTGACCTAAAGAATTCCTGTCAATACCTGTGGCTGCCAAACATATGCACTATGATGCAATTTTTATAACAGGAAAGGTCCTCCACGCATTTTTTGCACACACAGTGCACTAGGTTCAGCATATACAGTCCTGTGGAACAAACATGCTCTCCGGAATGTTCTGTCAGCATGTGTAATTCCAGTCAGATGTTAACCTTGCTGAATATGACAAAACACGTTACTTTAAATACGTACATATATACTTACATGCACTCACACATAGGCACACTTGCTTTACATTTTTATAGCCTATATATCACAACATTTCAGTGTCTTTGCTGCCAGTATGCACACAGATAAAAGAAAACATTAATGTGGATTAAGGTACTAAGAATTTATCAACATCAAACCACCAGTGTTTTGCCTTCTACCCTTCTGAACCGTAGTCAATAGATCTAAATATTTTACTGCACCCTGGCCAATTCATTGTTTGATGTTTAAAAACTCACCCAGAATCAAAGAAAATTTATTAAATTTGAGCCCCCAAATGAGATACTATTAGCTTTGAAAGTCAAGTTTAACTGCGATATTGATGATTCTCTTTTTTCTGTGACAATATTCACAAGGGAAATCCCTATGTCAAAGTACAAAAGCAGATTGCTAATACTAGGGGGAAAAAAACAATGTATAAGCAATGGAGGTATAATACACACACAATACAGACAGTAGAAGTCCTTTTAACCCTATTAGTTTCAGACTCTCCATTTTAGTACTGAGGCCTGACAGTGAACAATAAAATACAAAAGCCATTTTTTCAAATGGCTGAATTGAGGTAAGCATAAGCCATTAACACTACAGCATCAGAGAAATACTTATTAGCTCCTTAACGAGCATGATAAGAATCTTCACAAATTAAAAAATATAAGTAAAACTTTTTGTCTCTACCGATAGGTAGGTAGTGAGGAGTGATTCTTGTTATCCACGTGCAAACTGAGAAACAAAAAATGAAGCTGAAGCTTTCTCTGAAAAATTGCTCACAAAGTTTAGGTTCAGGGAAAGTGGTATGGAAATAGTAAGAACAAAAGACAAGCACAGGCTGTGCAAAAATCATTACACAGCTTCAATAAAGACAAAAACATCCTCCACTTGGCTACTAATTCAAGGAATGGAAAGACTTAATGGCCATGCCTACCCTGAATCACATTGGCTACGCCGTATGTTATCTTTATTATGAACCAGAAAGATAAAGACAGGAGTTGGGAGATCGTTATTATTTCCTTAATCTCTAAGGAAGTAAGCATGATACTTACACATTTTACTATCAGGAAAATACAAAACTCTTACGGTGATTTTAATTTAAAAAACAAAGAAAAAAAAAAAAACAAAAAACCCTAACCTCTGCAGACTGTCAGGAAGAAAAATCTATGTAGCTGGACTATAAAAAACAAGTTTTAGGGCTTTTCTGCATTTATTTACTCCATTTTTTTCTGCACATAATATCTGAAGAAATAATACTTTACCTGAAAATGCTCCACTGGCTAAAGACTTAATGTTACAAACTAAAAAAAAATAATCAGGCCTACTGTGAGTTTGTAAAACCAGTTCTACTTTCCTATTCTCCAAAAATGGATATAGAGAAAACGTGCATAAATCTATCTACATACAATGCTTGCATAGGTTTTGATCAGTCCTAGCTTTGTTAAATATTATTTGTCTGGGACAATGAGAATTCACAGAAGTTGTTTGATATGGAGCACAGCTAGTACTGTGATGGTGGGCTGCTAAGTATGACCGCTAGATTTTTCAGTTTGAACATATATAAATAAAGACTAAAAATAGGAAAAATCACAAGTGGATTCAAGCAAGTCTGCAACAGTATTCAAAACGTTTTAAAACAAATGAGCAAAGTGACTTATGACTGCATTTAACTTTTTAATTAATTAAGAGAACAACACAGAATACACCACCATGGCCACTCAATTTAAAATCAATAACGTACTGATGAATTCAGATCAAAGCTGAAATTGAATAATAAACCAAAGTTACATTATTGACTGAATCAAAGGTGTAGAATTTGATGAACTAATTCTACATGTCCAAAAATGATACTAAAAATTCTCTGCTGATCAAAGAGAGATTTATTTTTTTCTCTGCAGACCTCTTCTGTACCCACTGCTTTGTTACCCTACCGCAAAGTTTGAGATGGAATGTCCAGTTATGCCAATAGAGACATAGTACAAAACATGAGCAAGCTGTAAATTGTATTAACGCATGCTTACACTTACCCTGCTGTCTGACTAGTACAACAGATCTCTGGTTCTAGACCTCATTTTGGGCCTAATTCAATGCTTTCTCACATTGAACAGAAAATATCTGGATATAAACTTCACTGTGTGAGCAATACAGCAGAACCTTCTCTAAGTCCAAAGTTCACCAATTACAAATAAAAAAGAATTCACTGGTAGTAAAATACTTTGGGCTCATTATGCTTTTATTTCCTATTACTGCTCTAACAGCATATTATCTGCAATTTAAGTGCTAGAACAAAAATCTAGAATGATGCAGTGATACAATGATAGCGAACGGCAAACAATGCTTCCATCTGCTTGGCTTTGAGATGACAACATTGCTGATGTAACAGAGGCAACAAATATGTTTTGCAAATCATTCTAAAAGAGTGCCAGCAAAATGGTTTTTACCACACTGATAGTACACTGCGTGTGAAATATAAATAACAGAAAGGTTTTTGAATTCCTTTTTGTAAAGCAAGGAGGCAGTTAGAAAGCAAACCACATCAAACCGCAGTCTTTCAAACACGTGGCTGGTTCAGTCACATAAAGTCTGACCTCCCAGGCAGCATAAAACTGCACAAAACACAGACAAGTAAGTTACTATTGCAAGGATCATCCTTCATGGTAAAACATACAAAATTAATATATTTATAACATAAAGTATTTTTATTTGTATACTACGTATAAGGACATGAGGATATTTCAGGGACCAAGGGTCATTTCAGAAGCTGAGATGCTGGCAGTGACAAGGTTGCACTGCTCAAGCTCAAGGCACTTTAAATCAAACACATGAGAACTATAAAACCACAGTTGAACTTACAAATTAAGAGCATGGATCAGATGAGAAGTGATGCTAAGAACTAACAATTAATGAACTAAAAAAAGAGAAAAACATCTAATTATTATTATTTTTTAAGGAGGCCAAAATACACCAAATCACAAGAAATCTCTCTGAGACAGAAAGCATACAAGATGAATGGGAAAAGGGCTGCAAGCTACAGTTGAATGAGTACTACTTGAATGTCCAACACAGCTAGATTTGAGCACTCACTGAAG